TGCACACGGCCCTCTGCTGTGAGGACCAGAATGCACACGGCCCTCTGCTGTGAGGAGCAGAGTGCATACGGCCCTCCACTGCCAGTGAGGAGGAAGGCCGTGCAGTGGGACAGTGGGAGGGAGTGGATGGACAGAGACGCTCTGCTTCTTCCCAACAGCCCCTGGGCCACCCTTCATTCCACCCTCTCGGCTGTCAGGAGTCACATCATCTCCTCCAGCCTCGTGCAGAGCTGAGCATTCTTGGCCATCACAAGCTAAGTTGAGGAGCTCTGAAACCGCTCTTGGCTATGGATGCCGACCCAGAATCACTGACATTAGGTGTCATGATAAGAAAGAGCAGCCTCTGGACAGATGGGCTCCAATGACGCAAACACGGACTTGCTCTGGACTGGGTTCTGTGAATCAGATCTTAAGGGCTCGACACAGTGACTGGAGGAACTAGATGTGTTCACTCTCTCTGTGCCGGGCAGACATAAATATATCCCCTCATGACAGATGACTTTCTTTGCTTGGACTGTCCTAACTACAGTGACTTTAATAGGCAATTAGATCTTCTATTTAATCATGGTTTAAAAAAAAAGTATGTATAAACTAATTCTTCTAAAGCTAAAGCCACAGTGTCATCATTTGGTCAAGACGCCCAGGCCCCTAACACGGGTGGAAGAGAAGTGGGAAGAGCCATTCACATCAGGCCTGGAGCTTCTCCAGATCCTCAAACTACGGCCTGCAGGCCACATGTGGCCCACCGGGTGTTTTTGCCGCTGCTGCCTGTCCTGCTTAGCAGCCGACTTGTCCCAGGGTCTGCAGTCCGGCCCTCCAATGGTCTGAGGGACAGTGAACAGGCCCCCTGTTCAAAAAGCTTGAGGACCCCTGCTTAGACTGTGAGGCTATGGGACCAGCGCTGGGACTCTGAGAAGGAGGTGGCCACTGCGAGCACATGGCCACAGTACAGTGTGTCAGGCAGAGGCAGCAGATGCACCTCTAAGCAGAGCAAGCCGGGGTGAAGGCTGCCATATCCCGCCAGAAACCTCCCGCCCGCCCATTTTCCTTCCCGCCCATTTTCCTTCCCGGTAGATGACATGACCATCAGTGACAGTGAGAGTGCTCACACCAGCAGCCCTGCGGCCCTCCATCCCCCTACCCTCACCATCCCACTAAAGGGATTCAGAATATGCTTTCTAAAGGTCTCTGTCATGGACTGAAGGCCAGTGTGCCTCCAAACTCACATGCTGGAGCCTTAACCCCCAATGTGACGTTGTTGGAAGGTGGAGCCTCTGGGGGCTGACTTAGGTCCAGATGGGGTCATGAGTGTGGCACCCCCATGACGGGGTTAGTGTCCTTCCAGAAGAGAGAGACCAGACCTCTCTGCTAAGTGAGGATGCAGAGGGAAGGTTACCGTCTGAAAACCAGGAGGGAGCCCTCACCCGGAACCAAATCTGCTGGTACCCTGACCTCAGACCTCCACCCTCAGAGCCACAAGGAAGAAATATCTGTGGTTGGAGCTGCCCGGTCTGTGGCGTTCTGTTACAGCGGCCTGAGCTCAGACGGTCCTCCCTTAGACAGAGCCCAATATCCTAACACCCCTCAGAAATCTAGGCTGAACCTTGAGCCCACATGAGTGCTCACAGCCCCAAAATGCCTTCTGAGATCACTGCACTCGATGACTGAGTCCCTTCATAAATACAGAAAAAAACCCAGAACGTTTAATAGTGTGAGTCCTCCTGATATTACAGGAATTGTCTCCGAGCTCTTTGGGAAATGACTGGTCTGTTTCTGTCGTTCTAGGTCTAAACCTCAAGGCTGCAGGCAGTGAGCGGGTGGTGTACTCACGTCCAGGGACTCCAAGCAGTACCAGCAGAAGGCGTGCTTGCAGTTCTTACACATCATCTGCGCACACCCCTCGTCCCGCTCGATGTACACTTTGCACTTGGGGCAGCGCTTGATGGGCGCGTCGTCCTCTTCCATTTTGAAAGACGAGCTGTGGGGAAAACTCCATGAGGGGTCCGCACTGAGGGCTCCCCAGAGGGCCCCGCAGCCCCTGCTGTTCTGGAACCATTAGCTCAATGACAGAGAACGAGGTTCCTTGTTATTAAATGCAAAAAAGCAAAGAAATGGCACTCAAGAAAAAAAAAAAAAGGACCAAAATACTGTGAATCAGCCAGTTTGAGTTTGTGGGGGGGGGGAAAGGCAAACTCAGCATGTATCTAAATTTAGATACATACAGACAAAAGAAAACTTAGGGAAAGGATTCTAAGGGAGTATCTGAGAAACCATATAACAGTCAAACATTATGTCTTTATTCATACATATGTCTGTTTTCCAAAGCGTTGATGAGAAATTTTATACACTTTCCCATTATCAGAAACAATGAATCTTATGAACACATACAAACAAACACACATTATTTGCTTAGAATGATCTCCAAAGCTGTTTTCCTGACAAGTCTGGTTGGCTTTGCAGTGGTTAGTGAGATGGGCTTTAACCCAAAGTCAAGTGCTGGCTCTTCTGCAAAGTAGCTGTGGGATAACTCTCTAAGCCCTGGTCTTCTCATCAGCATTAGCATAATAAGAGATTCTGTGTGACTAGAGGACAGTGTAGGATCCAGCTTGTGCCTGATACAAGGTAGCAATAATTCAGCGTTGCTAATAAACTGATGACAGATATTTAGGTATGACTGCAAAAGGAGGTCCACCCTATGCCACTAATTCTAAAAAGACAACTAGGAATATGCATGAAGGCTCTGGAAGAATAAATGGTAAACTGTTCAGGAAGGTCACTGGTGATCACGTGGGGGCACACGCCACACTCTACACTGTCTGACCCGGCTGTGCCAGCCCAGCACTGCCAGAGAAGGCGTCCCTGCAGGGTGAGCAGCCTTTCTGGAATTTAGTACCTTTATGATTACACATTCACTGAAGCTGAGCAAATTCTGCCACTTTGCCCGCCTTTTGGCCAAAGGCTTCCCCACAAGCATCATGGTCATTATAGAAATCAAATGAAATTTCACTTTCCTGTGAGTTTTCTGGGGACTTGTAGTGAACCTTCCTCCAGGTGAGGTATATGCTGAAGGTGACTGTTTTGTTCATTAGCAGGAGGTGACAGGATAAGAAATAATGAGGGAAGCAATACACCCTCACATTCTCGTACGTGGGAGCACAGAGTCTTGAGACAGGGCAAATCCCAGCTGCACCACTTGTGTGGCGTCTGAGTCTCCTCGTCTGCCCAGCAGGCTAAGGAGGCTGCTAGCCTAGGCCTCCGCAGGGGCAGTGAGGACTGGAGGGTTTGCACGTGTTGAGCACGTGGGCACAGACACCTGCACAGTAAGTGTCAGTACTCGATAAACAGTACTTTGTTATTAATAGTACTATCACCAAAAGACATCAAAACCACAAAACCATCTCTCTAGCTCAAGTTCTCCTCCTATGTAGAGCAAACTACAGACCAATCTGGCCTCACAGAATGCGGTTTAGAAGGATCAAAGGTTATTGCAATGAGCAAACGAGATCACGTGTCTGCAAGTCGGCTCTGAGAAAGCCTCAGCCTGGCTTTCTTCTGACACTGATTTGGATTTTGCAAAGAGCTAAAAGTCCCGGCACAAGACCCGAGGACCCGGCTGGCTGTCGGTTAGCTAACGTTGTTTTGGTGTGGAAGCCAGGTGTGACTTTAAAGTTATGAAACCAATTTTCTCATGTGACTCAGAAGTTAATTTTGAGAGAAATGCTGTGAACAGTGTTTAGAGTGTCTGCTGGGCAGAATTTTCAAATGCAAACTGTAAAAATATGCAAGTGCTGGTTCTCTGTGTCATGTATAAAATTTGCATGGTGTCGACGAGGGTTTTCCAACATTTCCTGGTATCTGAATTACATTTAAAGTTATTATTAACAATAACTGTTACCATAAACTCAAATTATTGAGGAGTCTGATGGTCCAACCACAATGGACGTGCCCTAATGCCCGTCAGGGGCTGGCGATGTAGTGAGCATAGCTGGTGGGGGTGGATCAGCACATGGCTAAGGGTAAGACTCAGCCTTAACTCTCCTACATGGCCAATGGGTGTGTGTCTTCTCAGTTTCAGATGCCAATCGACAGTCACCTTCAGTTCCAGGGAGATGAGGGGCTGGTGAATAGTGGGGGTTACCCCCAAGCCACTCTGCTTGGAGGCGTTGCAGCTCAGCCCCACATGGGAGGGAAGGTGGGCTCGGAGCAACTGGGTGCTCAGACTTCCCAGGGAAGCCAGAAATTCCAGTTTTTAAATTTTCACAATCTGAGATTTGTGAACTTTGATGTACATTGCCCTTGTGGCATGATAAGAAAAACTAAGTCATCAGGCCCCAAACCCTCACCACCCTCCATCTCAAATTTGAAGTGTTGAAGACGGGGTACAAGTGAAATGGTTACAAGTGAAATGGTTCACGCTAGCCTGGTGTGGCCGGGACACAGCTCAGACCCTGCAGACCCCACATCGGGTCGGGTGATCGGCCTGATGGCAGTCAGTGGGTCGGCTGATGAACGACACAGTCTGGCTGAGGTTGTAATCAATGCACAAGCTCAGTGGGGACACAGAGGGCAGGGCCATTGACCTTGCCCTGGGAGCCCGAGGTGTGACAAGGGGCTGTGAGGGAGGCCAGAATTCTCTGGGGAATGAGGAGGGCAGAGAAGGGTGCTCCTGGGCCAGGACCAAATGTGCCCCAGGAGGAGACAGGGACCCTGGAGAGTCTGGGGCTGGGACAAGACATGGGGCCGTGGGCTCTGGAAAAGGAAGAAAGGAAAAGCAGGGCCGCTGTGACAACACCTTTGGGTGGATGAGTGGCTGTGGCAGCTCCTCTGTCAGGAATGTGGCCTTTGCAGTAACAGGACAACCATCTACTGGAGCCATGTGACATGCACATTTTGCAGGACACAAAGACCTGGACATTATCAGATTCACATGTTGGAGCCACTAAACTGTAAGGCATGGAGAGCAGTGAGCAGCCCAGAGTCCACCCAGGCAGGCAGGCCGGCCATCTGGCCGTGGGGGGCGGGGCAGGAACACAGGAGTGCCTTCCTGTGTCCTTAACTGACAGACTTGAAATTTTAAGACGCAACAACACTGGCCTCAGCTGAGAACCTGTACAGGGGGATTCTCCAGATAATTATGACCTCTGCCCTCCTCTCATGCCTGTCTCCACATCCCACATTGAATCATCTTCAACACAGTGGAGTCTTAGAAAACCCAGGGTAGCAGCATCCAGCATTCACACTGGAATGTGACAGTGGAGGCACCTGTCACACCAGGCAGCAGGCGAAGGCTGGTTCTTACGCACTGTCTACTTCCAGGGCCTCCCACATGCCTGGCACGTGGTCAGTTCTCAAAAATAAACAAATAACAATAGTCCTGAAAGAGCCTGGAGAGTTCCCATGTGCTGGGCCAACCCAGTCATAGCCACGCCCACCTCAGTGACACTCTCAGGAAGGAAGCACAGATCCCCCTCCCACGGATGTCCAGGTGGCAGCTTAGTCCTGAAAGTTACCTGGTCTCCCCGGGGAGGAAGGTGACAGGCACGGGCTCTGGGCAGCCCTGGCCAGGGTGCCAGCTGGCTTTGCAGGCGGAGCAGAATTCCATGTGGCACGCTTTGCATTGCACTGGCTGGGGGGTCTGCAGCCCCACGTCCTGGAGCTGGCACACAGCCTGGCAGGTGGACGCTGGGCACCATGTCCGACAGGGATCGAAGAGCACCTCTGGCACAGGAAGACAAAATGGAGAGTCAAACCTGGGAAGCCAGAGGGGCAGGGGTCCAGGGGTTCAGGGGTCCAGGGGTCCAGGGGTTCAGGGGTTCAGGGGCTCCAGGGCTGAGGGAGCAGACGGAGTGCCTGCTCTCCCCTCCTCCTCAGCCCCTCCTAGTATCTCACCCCTACACAGGGCATAGCCGACCTCCAGACACCCCAGTGTCCCTAGGGGAGGTCACCCCTGCCCATAGAGCATCCTTGGCTCCCTGGGACACCCCTGTCTGTACCCGAGGCACAGCTTGAAGACCTCCACATTCAGGAAAGCTTGGCGACCACGCACTACATTCCCCCATCTGCCTGCCCCAGGGGACAGCCTTCTAACATGGGGCCAGTGCCTTCATCCTGTCCCCTCACACCTGCCTTGTACTCAGGACACAGTGCACTCTGGGGGGCAGGAGAGGGGAGGAAGGAGCTTGGGTTCATCTGCCTGAGCTCATCTCCCCTCCCCAGTTTAAATCGAAGCCAGGAGCTACTGCTGAATGAACCCTTCAGGATCAGGTTTCCCCCTGAATTGGAGCCCAAGAAGCTCAGAAGCCCAATTTAATGGAATCAGAAAGTTTATTTTTGCCCACAGGACACCATGAAAAGCTTACTGCTTCACATCCTTCTCCAGAAATTGCATTTATTCAAACAATGCGGACTGAGCTGCCCTTTGCTGTGAACCTGGCTATTCATCTCATTTTCCCTCTTGACCAGTGTGACACTGAATCCTCAACGAGGGGACAGTGGGAAGGAACCAGAAGGAAT